GGTAATTTATCTATTTAGTCTTTTTTTAGTTCAGTCACCCTGTTTAAATCTTAATTTAAAGTTCTGGTTTTCACTTTCATTTCAACTCGGATCTGTTTAATTATATACCTCTAATCCACAATGAATTTCAGCTTTAGGCACTTTACAGAGACAGTTTTGCTCACTACAATGTCTAAAATACAATGAAAATCAGGACAGGTGGAGTTCAGATGCAGCAAGTTCACCCAAACATTTTTGTGTGATATATGTATTGCTATGATTACAACATAAGCTTTTAGATAAGGTTTTATATTTAGTCGTTGGGACAGGTAAATGTCTCTTTTTCCCAAGCAGAGTACGGGTTTGCTCTGCTTGGGGCTGGATCACATCCTACATAATAGTTCCCTGACTACCTCCACCGGTTTTTCCTGAAGATGCGCCCAGGGCGTTATCAGAGCGTGTAAAGGAAATAAAACTGCAAAAGTCCACATCAGTTTAACACTTTATATTTTTTTCAATTTACACATTCCCGTGAAAGACAAGAACACTTTCAGAGCTTATTATCTTCTTCCATGACAGACTTTAATTTTGACATTTAGTCAGAAACCTGTGAGGTAGGTAATTAGCAGTTAACCCCCCCCAGCTCCTCTCCCTCCCTCTCCAAACAGTGGGTGTGTCTTCGTGTCTGAACACGGCATGCTGCAGTTGACAGACGGCTGTACTCCTATTTCTACCTGCCAGGTGAGACACGGATAACAGCCCGTCCTTGCTGTGTATTTCTTCCAACTTTCTTCATTACTTGAATCATCAGATGATTCCCACCAGGAAAGGTGAGCCAATTTAACTCTAAATGTTCTTTTACTTTTTATTCTTAAACCATTAAAGTAACTCAGTTTGAAAGCAGAACTCCCACTATGGCTGATTTACCAATGTGGGACATAGTCTTACAACAGGTGACTGACAGATGAGCTAAAATAAATATTTGTTTGCACATTCTATTATTTGACAGTAAGGAAAGGAAGATCATAAACATAGTTATGAAATCATGAGAACTGCATTTGCTGTTGAACCAAAATCACTTTTTTTATTGTCTGTTGCTCTCTTCATAGGACACTTTCACAGCCGTTCGGTTGCTCGCACAGCTGGAAACTTTGCCTGGGAATTTCTCGGCTTTAAAATTTCAGTCATTGTTTCTGGTCGTGTGTGTGATGTGCATTCCCATCTGAAATAGCAAGGAGGCCCACAGTGAAGATTGTATAGATATTTGTTTTCTTGTTGGTGTTTTTTTTTCTTTCTTTTTTTTAAATAAAAATCAGCTCAGATTCTGCACCATGTTTGTTCACTGTTGGTTTTATGATGGTAAATTGTCCCTGGAAGGTACAAAACAGCAGCCACATGGCGGTAGGCCTCATCATCATCTTTTTATAGATCTACTAACCTAGAGCACTATTTTGCATTGTTGAAGCTTTTTATTAAAACTAGAAGACTAGTGATGTATGAAACTGGAATCCTATCTGGTCTCAGTGGCAGCAGAACTTTTTGTATGCAGAGATGTAAAAACTAAAGTAGTTCAGTTGTCAAATCCCACAGGAGGGCAAGGCAGTGGTGTTACCACATGCACACACGCCTCTAGTAATGTCAGGTATGTTGGTGAACCAGCTCCACTTATTTGTTCTTAGATGATGGGCGTTAACTCTGTACTTTCCTTGTGTGGTGGCTCATTTTAATTAAAAATTCATGCAGACATGGGAGGAAAAAAAAAAACTTGAAGCTTAGGATGGGAGTAAGAAAGGAAACGATTTGCACACATTCACATATATTGATGCTTGAAATAGATGTTTTAAACCTTATAAAAGGCTTGTTTTAATGTACTGTAAATGTTGCAATTTTCTTTTTTGTAATTGTTATAAATTCCCTGTTACGTATGTATGGGTTGATTCTGCAATGCATAACAGACACCTGAGGGTCTGCACACTGTTAAACAGGTTATGCAAATGACTGAATGTAAACCAGTAACATTCAGAAGAAATGAGGCAATAACATGGGAGTTGGTTTAGACCGTATTTGTGTCCACACTTATCTTTGTGCCTTGTCAGCTCAGTTGGAAGTTTTAGATTAGTGTGAAGATGGAAGCTAAAATCATACTAAAGAGGGTAGAAAGCGAGAGAAGGAAATTGTCTAAGATTGGAGCTCGCTAAATCGATGAGATAAAAAAATTCCCTGCATAAATTTACTGCAAAGTTTAAGAAAGACAGCACTCTGCTTTTTGTTCTGCTCTGACTAATTCCTGAATGGCGCAATAGTTAATATATTCACCTATCCCATAAAGTAATATTAAATAGTAACAGAGTACACTTCAGTATAGATTCATTTTTTTTTATAACAAATGTTCCTTAAAAACTGAGACTTGGAGTTTCCACCACATCAACATTTTTAAAAGCAATAAAAAAAGGACCTTTTTAGGATTTTGCATTTATTATTTATTTTATTTATTATTGTTCATGACTTAAATCAGCAGCTATGTTTATGTTGCAGCCACTGTCACCATCGTTGCTGTGTTCAGGGCACTGGAATAAAAAGCCTTCTAAATATAAATGGAGTAATTCATAATGTTAGATATATGGTGTAATATTAAGTATATACATTCTAGTGTTTGACTTTAAACTGAAACTGACCCCTTTTCTTACTTTGCAGATTTTAATTAAATTGTGCAGTAACCAGTTTTCTTCACTGCATTAACCTTAACAGTAACATTAAATTAGCACTATATACAAACAATTTATCTGAAAATAAAGCTAAATTAGGGTGAATTATACTTTACCAGTTAGAAAACCCTAGTTCTTGATTTGTTCATCAGAGGTCAAGAAACCTTTACCACAATTCCAATGTAGTAAAATTTAACATCTGGTTAAAGAATATACGGTAGATGTCATAAATCAACTCAACCCATAGGGTCTATTTAAAAGCCATTAGAGTTGGCCATCATTCCACAGCATCTGATAGGTAAACTGGAACAGCTGGGCTTCAATACACCCCTCTGCAATTGGCTGCTAGACTTCCTCACAGACAGGCCTCAGTCAGTCCGCATCGGACAGAACATCTCTGATGTCATCATCCTAAGCACAGGCCCGTTGTTCCCCCTGATGACACAGAGGTTCACAACCAATTACTTGGTCAAGTTCGCAGATGACACCACGGTGGGGAGTCGACAACGACCGAGACTACAAAGAGGAGGTGGAGCAGCTGGTGCAGAGATAACAGCCTGATCCAGAACGTGGAGAAGTCGAAGTAGATCATTGTCGACTTCAGGAAGAACCAGCCTAACAACACTCCACTGCTCATCAACAGCTCACCTGTAGAGGTGATCAACAGCACCAAATTCCTGGGGGTGCAGATTACAGACAACTTTACCCGTACTTTAAACACCACCTCACTGGTCAAAAGGGCACAAAAGTGCTTGTACTTCCTGTGGAGGACAAGGGGAGCCCACCTACCCCCAACCATCCTCATCACCTTTTACAGAAGCCCCATAGAGAGTGTTCTGACCAGCTGTCTCACTGTGTGCTGTGGAGGATGCAGCGCCTCAGACTGAAAGAAAGT